CTTGACACTCTTCAGCACCTTCTTGGCCTGCTTGTCCTCAACCAATGGGTTGGCGAAAGGCACGACGGCGCCGACGGGACGGTCGACAACGGCGTCCTCGCCATTGGCGGCGACGGTGCCAGTCTGCTCGAGGCCCTCCATGGCCTCAGAGCCAAACTCCTTCTCTACTGCATCGGCAAGAGCAGTCTTATCTTTCTTCTCTTTCTTCTCCTTCTTGACCTTGTGCACACCGTCCTTCTCCGCACGCTTCTCCTTCTTCTCAGCGCGGTCCTTCTTCTCGACCTTGTCCTTGCCCATGGTGACGGTTGTGGGGTATTAAATGGAAGAAATTGAGTAAAATCGAACGAGAGACCGAGGTGAAAGGAGACAGTCACGGGTGAGGGTGGTGAACTGAGAATTCGATGCCGAAATCGAAATAATTTTTAAAACGGCGCTAACCCCTTTTCGGGTGCAGCTCACGGCTGACATAATTCTAAACAAGGCGGCGCCCGGCTTTAACCATCCATCCATCTTCCCTTTGATTACAGCAGGACGAGTTGTGCAAGTTTTCTTGCCTCATGCCCCATTAGATAGGGATTTACGTGGGGCTTATGATACCCTAAACCTCACTGTGAGCTTTAATGGGTCTCTATGTTATTTTGCGCAACAACTGACCTTCCTGCTCTTGATAGATGGACCATAGCCAGAACAACCGACCGGCTTCCCAGCTCATCGCTGGATTCGGTTCACCCTCGACACCATCTGGTTCATGGAGTAGCATGCGCCGATCGACTACTACGCGACAATCTGGCCATTTTACGCAATCTCAAGCTCAGTCCCATCAACCAGTTCACGGTAAGATGATACCTTGCTCAAACTGACTGGAGAGGCCCGCGACAGAGAGACTGACTGGTTCTTCTAGATGTGGAAAAAGAGGAGCTACGCGTGCAATTAAGCACTCTCAAATACGAGCTCGAGAACATCAAGCAGGAACGAGAGTTGGAGGCTCTTCGTCACGAAAAAGAAACCCGCGACTTACAAGTGAAAGCGGATGCGGATTTCCGAAAGGCTCAGGTGAGCCGCTACAAGATTCTCGTCTTCACATGGCCAAACTGACAATCTTTGCTGCAGACTGCCGAATCGTCGAGTAACCGCGCCACCCATAAGAGCGACGAACTTGCAAAAGAATTGAAAGAAATGCAAGATCAGGTTTTGAATGACAAGCTTGGGTTTGAGCGCAAAATCAGAAGCCTTCAGGACGAGAATCAGCACTTGCAGGAAGAATTCGACGACAGTCAAGCTCGACTTTCCGACCAGGAACGACAATTTAAATACCAGATCAACGAGTTAGAGACAGTCCGCGCCTCCCTACAGAAGACCATCGAAGAATTCCAGAGCGATATCCAAAATGCTAGGACATCACAGGAATCAACGCAGGAGAAATTATCCCAGCGTGAAGCCGAAGTCGCTGAACTCGAAGCGGAAAATATTCGACTGAAGGCCGAGGGAAACGACGCCGAGGCATTGGCTGTGTTAAAGAGAGAACTTTCTGAGCAGGTCAATCATATTCGGGAATTAGAGTCAGCAAACCGTGATCAAACAGCGGAGCTGCGTCACCTTCGAAAAGTCTCGAAGAATGTTGAAGTCATTGAAGAACAAAAGCGATCAGTGGAGAACCAGCTTCAGTTGATGAAGGGCTTTGAAGCCGAACTCAACACAGTTCAGATTCAAAAGCAGATCTTGGAAGATGAGCGACAGTCTTGGATCAGTCTTTTGCAGGGAAACGACCAGCCTGCAGAGTTTGACTCACCAGATGCTGTCGTGAGGGCGGTAGTTCAAGGGCGGATTGAGATCGCCACGCTTCTTGATCGTCTCGGAAGTGTTGATGCGCAATTACTTGAGAAAGATGAGGCTATCAAGAGCCTCGAAAGCGGTAAAAATAATCTGCAACAGGAATTGGACAAACTCCGCGTTGCGACATCCGCTTCTGCAGGAGGGCCGGGTGCCGTGGAGGGCCGACTTCGAGCTCGACTGGAGCGCCAGCGTGCGCTCGCAGTGAAAGAAGTCGAATACTTGCGCGCCCAGCTCAAGACATTTGATGCGGAAGAGGCCACGATGAACGAAGATCAGTCACAGTTTGATGGACAAAAGTCCGAACAGATAACCCAGCTGCAACAACTCGTCGATGAATACCGCTGTGAACTCCAGAAAGCTCATCAGGAGCTCTCCAAGCAGGAAGCACCGAAAGAAGAGGAAGCCAAAGAAAGAGGTGTCAAGCGACCTCTTTCTCCGGCCGATAGCGAAGCCGAAAGCGAGCGCATCGCTGTGCTCAGCCGCAAGAACCGCAAGCTCCAGGAACATCTCACCAAGTCAGACCAGGCCACGATTCTTGCTCGCCGGGAACTGGATGCAGCCAAGTCGCAGATTAAGTCTTTGAAGGCTAAGTCACGAACACGCGTTCTTGAATTGCGCGATAATCCGACAGCCCAAACCGAGCAAATCAAGATGACTACTCTTGCAACTCTCCAGGCTGCGAACAGAGACCTCATGGCGCAGCTGCGGGGGGCCAATACTGATGTCAAAGTTGTCCCGGTCAGCACTGTGGAGAGCATCAAGCTCGAAATGCAAGACATGGAGCGCACCGTTGCCGATAAAGAAAAGCGTATGCGCCGACTGAAGGAGATCTGGACAGCTAAGTCCTCCGAGTTCCGGGAAGCTGTTGCCTCCCTCCTCGGCTTCAAGCTTGATTTCTTGCCGAATGGTAGAGTGCGAGTAACTTCCATGTTCCACCTCTCCTCCGCATACCGGCACGGTGACTGTGATGCACCTTCTGACTCTGGTCCTGGCAGCATGGGCAATGGTGAAGAAAACTCCATCGTTTTCGATGGCGAGAACGGCACCATGAAGATATCGGGCGGACCAAACAGTCTGTTCGCCATGGAACTTAAACCTCTCATCAAGTTTTGGGTTGAGGATAGAAAGGATATTCCATGTTTCTTAGCGGCCATGACTTTGGACTTCTACGACAAGACCACCCGCGCTGCTAGGATGTGATATCATATTTCTTACATTTCCTATATCTGTATTTCTGTGATTCCCCGGCACATCTTGATTTGTGCTATGTTGTATGTTCTTGTGATTGATAATATGCTATTTGTTTATGCAGTGATTAAACCAACACTACATACATCTTTCCCTTTTCCTTCATATCAATGAAGGTATCGCGCACAATTTCCCATAGTGCCCGTATCCACAAATATCTAGTAAAAAGGGTTCACATTATTTACATATAGGGGATGAAGTTCTTTCTCTCTCCCCTTTATTGCTCGCTCGCCTCTTGCCACTTTTTGATCGAGTAAAACCGACCTGTGGATGCCCCGAGCAGCGGGCACAAGCTTCCAAGGTTATACATCCCCTGCCCAATCGGGAAAGACAAGGCCGAAAATGGATCGAAGATCCTCTGTCTGGTTGTTCGGGACTTGGATATCCTGGGATGGGGGATAATAGAGCATGTCGGGCCTAAACGGCGATGGCGTGTCAAAGCTTGTGAAAGGAATTTGCCCGGAGTTTGGCTGTGAGATTATCGAAGAAAGCTATGACGGGGTTAGCGATATTTAGATACCAGAGAAAGGTTCACTACATCTATATCTTTGAAATCAATATCTGGCCCGTAATCCCATATTGGTTGGATCCCTTGCTGCATCTCCGGCTTCGATATGGAAGGCGTGGGTACTCTTTCCCGTACCTTGAGAATATATTGTCGCGCAATGCCTGCAAAGCTCGAGATGATTCTTCCCGGGAGTGCACCTTTAGAGGCGTAGTCAAGTTGACTGAAGTATGCCGCAGCCTGATCAAGGAAGGCAATATTACTTTCCGTCTCTCTATGAGTGGGATTGTGAATCACAAAATCAAAAAGAACGAAGACTGCCGATAATGGTATGATACCAGCAACGCTAAGTTGAATTATTAGTATGACGTTCGCCTGGCGTCCCATCGAACTTGAGGAAGATGGACTTACAAGACAGGCATATGAGGCTCGATTTCGATGAACGAAACAAGCTCAATAACAGTGCGCGCTGCGTTCATCAATTCCCACTTGCTATCCTCGCGATCCAGCTTTTCGTCGGGGTCGACGTGAAGGCATAGGCGTTCGACAGCAAAAACGAGGTTGTAGTACAAGTAATGCGTCTGTATAGCAACCATCTTCGTACTCGGACTTCTAATTTCACTTAGTCGAATTGGCTCCTTCGGCCGAAATGCCCCAGGTACCGATAAGCGCCATTCTTCTAACCCACGTCGTACGTGTTTGATAGAGCATAAGCAATCCTCTGCGGGCTTCAAAGACGACCTTGTCGAAAACAGAGTGGTGTATACGATTGATGTAAGTCTACTCAGATGAACGGCAGACAGGAGCCAGTTGTAGTCACCGAACATGGAACCTTGGACGGAAGGGATGTCACATCCGATATCCTCGTCAGCGAACACCTGGCTGATTATTAGTGAAATAGTTCCCATGCCCCGGGGAGAGCTTTGAACACACTGAGCTATTGTTATCAGAGAAGGAGGCAATCTTTTCCAAGTGGTATATGGTCCAGAACACTCTCAAGTGGGCTGGTTGAGCTTTCGAAGATTTGTGATACCGTAGACTTTGCGCCATTCTAGCTGCTTCGTATACCAACGCCTGGTCTAGCTGAAGACAGCAGGAATTCATTGCAAAGATGGACTACAACTCGAACATTAGGTGGGTGAAAATGGTAGGCAAGGAGTAGAGCCCTCACCATGGCTGTCAGAGCCTGTGAGATTCTGTCAGTACGACATGAGACAGAGAAGGCGCAGGTATTAAAATACTTGAAGCTTCGTCAACGAGTATGGAGGAACCAAGATGTCTGGAATAGTACCAAGGCATAATTGAAAAATACACCACGCCTTTCCCGAACCTGGCATGAAGCTGCCGCCTTGGTTATACTGGCTGCCCAAAGCTAGGACAGCGTGATATATTGCGGAACATGCTTTGCTGCATTTCGATGTCCCAGGACGTTGGCAGTTAGTAGTATGTGAGGTGAACTCTTCTATGTCGAGAAAGGGGTAAATAGGATGGATCTGCTCAAAGTAGGCTAGTTCTCTCAATCAGATACTGGACCATAACTAAGGGAAGGATAGAATGACCATGAATATAAGCCTCGGCTTCGCTTGATGTCACGTCCACACTGGCTAGAGGTGGCTGGAACTCGATCGTAGACGACGAAGAGTCGCTTTGCGAACATACTCGGGACACAAGGAGGGTTTCCAGGTCCTCAACGATCTCTCTGAGGACACCTGTTCCTATTCGGCTGGCCAATTCACTCATCCGTTGATTAGAGAAAAAGCTCATGCCCGAGCTGGTTGCTATATATGTGTGAGGAGGTAGCCAGATGGATGGGGAAATCTAAGCTTACTTCGCTCATTGCTAGCCTGCAAGTGTGATGACGTGAGCAGTGTGGACTTTGCTAGAAGTACATGTAAATACCATACCTTGACGACGACGGAATCATCATAGAGATCGACCTTTTGAGGCCCAAAGCGCAAGATACGGTCGATGGGTAGGTCATTCTCACGTGGCAGTGATGGTTCAACAGGAAGTGGAGTAGACTCTAGGCGTCCTTAGTGACCCGACCATGTAGTATATTGGTTGTACAGGGCGAGTACGCACGTGTATCTTTGCGCCGGAATTTGCGTCTGATAGGCGTAAATTGACAAGACTCGTTGCGATTCTACGTGAAGGTGCATTAGAGGCAATGTTGTATCACCAGGAAGTTGAAACAGGCGTACGATGCAGTGGATGCAGATGGATGGTGCCCCCGGTTGTCTGGGGTGTTCAGGCACTACAAATAGTTGTAGTATGATCAGTCTCAGCCCATGTACCTGGCAGCAACCTGAAAGTGGATTTACCGATGCATCGGACTTTTCGGAACCTGCACTGATCACAGGACTTATTGATTCTTATCATATTGGAGGTCATAATTTTGAAAGGATGTGTCGATCAGGGTACATTTTCTTCTCTAGAGTGCTTCGACTCCCGAATATCAGAGTGAGCAAGCAGGTCGGATATATACACCCCGCAATATTCCACACCGCCTTCAAGGGATATATCTGGCTACTCAGACTTCGAATCGCCTCGCAACTCTCGTCCAGCTGACGGTAGTCATTATGTAAATATGCTCGATATGCAGTTTCGAACTTCAAACGTTTCTTCCCTCTACCAGCCTCCGATCCATCTGCATACAAAATAATGATTCTGGGGTAGGGCACTTGAAACGCGAAGACGACCAAATTAGGATTAGCCACTCTAAATTTACTCTTGCACGGTCTACTGTGTCCATAATTCCGTCAAGCACGCTTGCTGCCTCCCTTTTTAGGGACCTTGAACGCCCAGTAAAGCCCTAGGCCCGCTGAAATGTTAACAAAGATATAGACCCATATGAGACCAAAGTCCCGCCACCTCGTATCATACGAAATTTGGAATCGATCAAGGAACTCATTAGTGGTCGCAAGCGGGCAGTATTCGCACATGCTGCGCGCTGCCGGGTTTAGCACCAAACCACCGGCGGCTTCCCTATAAGCACCCAGGAATTCTTCGCAGTTAAGGTTTCCAGTTGGAGCCATATGGAGAATCTCGCGGTCGGCACATGTAACGTTCGAGTTGGCAACTGCGTTGGACATGATGCCCCCAACAAGGTATGTTGCGGGCGAAACACGATACATGAAGGACCAAAACTTTGGGAGATCAACTATGGGAACCCCGACTCTGTTTTGATGATTAGCGTGTTTCCTGAATTTGGAGAAAAATTAATTTCTTCGGATTTGGTTGGACTCACCCGCAGAACAGGATACAAAGCATCCAGAAAAGACTGGTTAGTACGCCTGCGGTTTCGGGAAGATCAATCCAGAAAATGGCGAAGTGAGCAAACGTGCTCGTGAATAGTAAGTAAACCCATAGAAGGAGGAATATGAGGAAGCCGCGGATAGCCTGGTCATCGGACGTCGTGTTTCGGACAAAGCCCACTGGGTAATACCAGCAGAAGTACATGATGACTGCCATCAGTGTATGCCATGCGAGCTCAACGAGGATATTGGAAAGTAAGTATGCTTCGGATGGGACGGGTCAGCGGGGTTGCATGGTGCGGATGAGAGGTAGAGAGCCTTACTTGTCCATCTGTAAATCTTTGACGGACGTTCGCGTGCCTCGTACAGCGCTCGCTGGGGTAGGAACATTGGCATTATTTGTTCATTGATGTTAATGAACAGCACGAGCAGCATGAAGATAGCCCACAGTTGGTTTTGCAGCCCTTGGATGGAATTGTTGGCCTCAAAACTAAAGCCGAGGTAGAGAGACTAGAAAGAAGAGCGTGGTTAGCGGCGAGTCAAGAAGGCAACGAGGGGTTTTGGCGCACAGAAAGGAAAATCAGTATTGTTTTGGACCAAATGTAAGTCGGTGATCGCCAGACATGCTTCCAAGTGCGTTGTAAAACTTGGCCGAACTGTGTCCAGAAAGAGGACACGAATTCCTGATGCTGAGAGGTGTCTCCGTCTGTGTCTTCATTACCTGCGGATTCTGCTGTTGGGAGAGCACGAAGGCGTCCAAGCTCCTCCTTGACTGTCTGATATTCGGGAGAATCCAGCCATACCTGGTGCCAGTCTGGTGCTTTCAAGCCATCCGCAGGCGGTTCAATCACCTGCAACATCCATTCAGCAGGGTTGGCACCCGCTGGGCATGCGGGGGCATTGTTCTTCTCAAAGTAGTTAATCATGGTTGAAGCACCACTTCCCAAATCTAAAGGTATATTCAATCAGCGGAAAGCGTTTTAAGGATACAAGGAGAGCAGGTCCTCACCACCAAAGTACGCCGTCTTGCCTCCCGGGGCGATAAGCAGAAGTCGATCAAACTGGTCAAAGAGAATAGCGGAGGGTTGATGAATTGTGCAGAGAACCGCCTGGCCGCTATTCGTCAATTTTTTGATGAGTTCAGAAATGGACCAGGAAGTCTGCGAATCCAGTCCTGAAGTAGGTTCATCAAAGAAGATCAACAGTTGTGGTCGAGCCGCGAGTTCTACGCCAATTGTAAGACGTTTGCGTTGCTCAACATTAAGGCCCTGTCCAGGAACACCAATGACGGCGTCCGCAAATTCTCGCATTTCCAGTGTGTCGACGACATGCTCAACGTACTTGAGCTTTTCCGATCGAGTTATTTCTGCAGATTGACGAAGAATGGCACTGAACCGAAGCGCTTCGCGAACCGTCATGGTGCTGAGATGGAGATCTTGCTGCTGTACATAACCAACCTTGTGCTGGAAGGATGGATCCGTTGGGTTTCCATTGACCATTGTACTACCAGTCACAATACCGGTAGTGACCCGAGTTGCCAGAACGTCCAGCAAGGTTGTTTTGCCTGCACCAGACACACCCTGATAAAGTCATGATTAGTGCGTGCTTGCATTAGATCTGGCATTGAGTATTACCATGAGAATAGTTGATACGCCGGGTTTGACCCAGCCATCGACATGGTCCAAAAGGCGGCGATTTCCGCCCTTGATTTCGATGTCGTAACAGAGATCTTCCCAGTGGAAGACGTCCTTCCCAACTACCATGTCGTCAGACTGGACTGGAGAATTTAGCTTTTCCGCTACTACTGGGCGACCTTGCGCTTGATTCTCGGCGTCGAAGGCCAGTGCCTTTTCTGGCTTATGAGATCCTTTGTTCCGACGGAACACTAAGATTTCGCCGCGTGTTCTGGCTGGCTCCGCAAGCTCCGCAGCAAGCACGTAGGCAGGGGAAAAGAAGGCCAAAAATGCGCAGAGAATGCCAATATTTCTTTTACGTATTGCAATTAGCCCATGGGCCGTCTCATCTGGAATGACGGATACTGACCTCCATTTGTGCACGTTCCAGTAGTCAAACGACTTGTTGATATAGTTGTCTCCATTGACAAAGGCCGAACCGGCTTCCGACCCAACAACAGAGCAGATGTGCGATCCAGACGGAAGGTTTGTGTAGCCTTGACCGCTTGGCACCATGTCTACACAGGGAAACTCCCGACGGTGGAATTCATTTGCCATCAAAGCCTCAAAGCCGTATGCCAGAGGATTGATGTACGTCATCCAACGCGACCATCCAGGCATATACTCTGGTGGTGTGGTAAAACCGGTATATATCATCAGTCCAAGGCTGAGAACGGCGCTGGGGATCATAGCCTGATCAGATGTCCGGGTTATACAGGCTAATGTGCGGAAAATGGCTGACTGGACCAGAGTGGTGAGGAGTGTGGTGAGGCAGAAAAAGAAGAAAGCACCCGCTTCTCGCCTCAGATTTGCCATGAAGTAAATGAGAATGTTAAAAACGAACATATTCACAATCTTGTAGGGTAGATCAGTTAAGTAGCTCGCAATCGCCTGAGCGGACTGGTGATAGAAAGCATAGCGATTCTGCTTCTCGACAACAGGGCGTTCGGCATAGATCGTCAGGACCTATTTTCAATTGGAGTTAATACGAGCGGGTCGGACTTCAAGCAAACGAGGACTAGGGGGAGGGACTTGCCTCTAACTGGCTCGCAAAAGCATTGAAAAGGAGCGAGAAGAAGATGAGCCCTCCACGATAGTAGAAGCTGGATGTATCCGGCTTGAGGTCATAGAACATGCTTCCCAGGATGAGCGCCATCACGACGTTAAACAAAAGGGAAGCAATGGTGAACCCAGGGTCGGCCAGCAATCTCCGGTAAGCGCGCCAAAGAGTTAGGGAGATTTGTTGAGTGTATGATATCGTGTAAGCAGACTTGGAGCGCTGCTGCTTAGCCTGCTCAGCTCGCCTGGACTGATAGTATACGGCCGCTCTCTCTTCCGGGGGATGTCTCTGCTCATATGATGCAAGCTCGGAGAGTAACTTCTTTCGCTGCTCGCTTGATTGCCATAGTTCTGCAAACTCATCCGGCCCTCGAGGTACCGAGTCTTCAAAGCCAGCTCTCACCCTCCGCTCTTCCGGGCTGGTCATAGAGGTCAGAAAATCGGGAATAGTTTGTCTAGGAAGGGCTAAGAAATTCGTCAGAAAATCGAGAACGCTGTCAGCTCGCCAGACCTCGAATACTCACAGCAAAAGCCCAGGCTTTCAAAATAGCCCTTGGCTTCAGTGGTCCGACCGAAGAATATCTGCCTCCCCTCATAGACCAGAGTGACTCGATCAAAAAGCTGGAAGTAAAATGTGATGATTAGCGAACGAATGTTGTCCCGAAAATCTATTACAAGAAGGCTCACATCATAGGCTGACTGGGGTGCTTGGTACAAGGTGACGACAGACGTTACATCAAGTAGATCTGCCTGGAGGCGCAGGTTGCTGCAAAAACTAACAGCATTGGCGCTGTCGAGCCCGCGCGTAGAGTTGTCCCAACACTGGAACTTGGCTCCAGTCAGAGAAGCCTCGGCGATGCTGACTCGCTTGCGCTCTCCACCACTGACACCACGCACGAAGTCATCTCCAACATGCGTGTTTACAGTATGATTCAGGCCAAAGATGGCCATTATGACATCGCGGCGTACCGTGTTGAGCAGATGACGGTCAAAGCCTCCTGGAACATGTCGCACAGTGCGAGCACGAGAGGCAAACGTCAAAGTCTCGCCAACAGTTAGATGCGCCAGGTGTACATCGAGCTCAGCATTATAGAGAACATCTCCGCGGAGGGAAGACCGGATATTGGCCACGTCCAATCCTGAATATGTTGAGCAAAAATCTAAGACATTGAATGGGCTATCAAGAACGAACCTCGAAAGTTGATATACGATTCTGGCGTAATATTCAAATCCGCCGTTTCCCCTGATAGCGTCTTGAGAAGTGTAGAACAGCCAGAGCCAGGGGGACCCAGCACGAGCAACATTTCTCCCTTTTCTGCAACACCTTCAAAGTTGCGTAGAATGTCCACACGTCTGCCATGTCGATCTCCACAAACCCACCTTGCTAGATATGTTGTGAGTCCAATTACCACATTCCCTGTGGTCTTTTGGAACTCTGCGGCCGTGGTATAGGCAAAAACACCCAATTCCTTGAAGGCAACGCCAAGGGAGCGCGAAGGTGCAGACTTAGGGTCCGACTCCGTTAGCCTGATAAACTCTTTTACCCAAACTCGTGCGTCAAATGCTGGGGACGAGGGATCAAGCTTGCTGCCCGGCGTTGGTTTGAGTACTTGTGACTGCCACTCCCCAGAACCAGAAAATATTGACAATTGCTCCGCAACCTTTGCAACCCTATCGTGTAGCTCGTTCACTTGGTCGTCTGTAGAAGTACGTTCGGCCGAAGATGACCCGGTTCGGGCCCTTGTATTAGCGAGGTCGCTGTCAGCCATGGTGACTGCTCTCAGAGGCAATTGGGCAAATAATGGAGAGAACTCTAAGATACACTGAGATGTAGGTTGATCTAGGCGCTGAAAAATATCCGAGTGTATGAAGAAAGAAGGAACTATGTATGTAGAGGGACTACGACTAGATGACTTAGGAGCAAATAACAAGGTCACATGAGCTCTCAGGACCTTCAAACAGACGGACAGCTCTTTCTTTGAATTGCACCGTTCTTCGGTGCTCGGGGCTTGGCTCTGACCGGATGAATCCGTACAATTCCACAGTTCGATGCTCGGTTCTTGGCGTGCATGCCAAGAAATTGGGGGCGGAAAGGAGTGGAACAACCTTGGAAAAAGGCTAATCGGCCCCGCCCCCGAAGTGGATCTTTCGAATATTTTCCGAGTGCCGAGTCTGACTATCTAACGTCAGATTGTTATAACCTTGGAATCTCTTGGTATGCCTACCTTACATGGATGCCTGCAGTAACCAATATCAAAAAAGATGGAGGCTTTCAGATACGCCGTCATTTTCGACTCTCATACTCCTTGGGATACGTACACAATTCGAGACAAAGAAATATGATAACTAAGTAACTAAGCCATAGTCGTTCTCATAATCGGCTAATTTGGATTGGGCCAAGAGAGTAGAGATTCAGAGCTCGTGTCAACCTTAGAAATTACCTCTGGGCCTAGATGTCTACCAGGTGGGCCTTTTTAGGGCATACATATGTAGTAAACTACAAAGGTACGTAACATAACTCCACGAGCTTAGTAGATATGGTATGACATTTGCCGGCCCCCAAACTAGGTACTTAATGTAAAGCATTTTCTCCAAGTGGGTATTTGGAATGATTTGTGTGCTGGCCCTCTGATACATGCCTTTGTACCCATGGGACCTGGTACGGGACCTGGTATAGCGGCTCTGCGGGCATGACTATCCGAGAATGTAATTATACAGGCGGGGTTAATAAGAAGCACAATTTCTCACTCTTACCTAAAACATATACGTTGCTCTTTTCACCTTATTGACGCATTATCCACACCGGGAACACTTTGGCTGCCAAAATGTCTGCACTCCCAATATCCTCTTCGTTTGTCGCAGAATGGGCGAAGGCCCAACAGACCCGTGGGCAGAAGCCAAAAAGCTCTTCAGTCTTCTATCGCAACCTTGAAGAGGAGCTCGATGTCAGCCGGGCCCAGCATAGCTGCGCAATGCTGCATAATCAGGACACTCCCATTGACTTCTCATCCTGTGACGTTCTCGGGATTGGAGAATCTGGGGCACTAAGAGCAGCATTCTTGGAAGAGCTGGATTGCAACCCCTCCTTCCAACTGGGTGCTCACGGAACGCGGCTACTCAACGGAAACTCAAAATACCTCGAAGCCGTCGAGAATGAGGTCGCAGAACTGCACGGTGCCGAGACAGGGCTCATCGTAAACTCGTCAGCAATTGCCAACGACGCCATATTTTCTGCTATTCCACTTCCAGGGGACGCTATCGTGTATGATGAGCTCATCCATGCTAGTGCCCTCGATGGGTTCAAGCATAGTGTGGCTCTTTGCCAGCTGTCGTTCCGTCACAACGATGTTGACTCCTTTGTGGAGATCCTGACGAATGTGAAGAATTCGCAGCCTCAAATCCGCAATGGCACTCGGTGTGTCATTATTGCTGTCGAATCTTTCTACAGCATGGATGGGGATGTTTGCCCACTGCAGGAGTTGATTGAGGCCGCCAAGGAAATTTTCCCCGATGGCAACGCTCAATTCGTCATGGACGAAGCCCATAGCAGTGGTCATATTGGTCCAAATGGCGCAGGTCTGGTCAGTGAACTGGGGCTCGAGAAAGAGGTTGCTGTCCGCAATCATACTCTCGGAAAGACTCTCTGTGGTACCGGTGGTAAGGCCTTTTCTGCTACTCTCAAACACTACACCGATGCTAATTTGAGTTGCAGGAGTCATCCTATGCAACAGCACCATTCGTAAGATCCTGATCAACCGCGCGCGGCCTATCATGTTCTCTATAGCGCCATCTTTCCCACTGTGCGCCGCAACACGAGTGGGATACAAGATGCTAAGAACTGGAGTGACTACGGAGGTGAGTCCAACCTCTTCCATTTTCTTAATCAAAGGGAGTCTTTCTGACAAATTCTCATTTTCCATCAGGCACAAAGCAGAGTTCAACATGTGGTGAAGCTATTCATGACATCTATCACTTCTCACCCTGTTTGGGATCGTGCGAATGATGCCGGTATTCTACGTATTCCTCTTTATGAGGAAGATGACTGGGATTCCCTGCCATTCGTAACTCAGATCTCTCCCATATGGACCCGTCCCAAGCACAATTTCTATCTTGCTATTCACCTTCAGTTGGCAGGATACTCGGTGTATCCCATCAGTTTCCCTGTGGTGCCAAAGGGATCTGACAGAGTTCGTGTCATATTCCATGCACAGAACACGGATTCACAAATCCAGGGACTCGCCCAGTGTACGTGCGAATGGGCCGAGGAGATGCTTGAGATTCAGAATGGTGGAGGCGGAGTCAAACTACCAGCTGCTGCCCGCCATGCTTACAGCCTGATGGCCAAGGAGAGTTTGAATGGTTCCGACTAGGCAATGTCCACAGGTATAGATAGCAGTGGGGCTGAGGCGCCACATACCCACAGTTATCCATAGAGAACATGGATATATGCTAGTGCAGTAGCAAAGAATGTCATTCAATTGCAACAGTAACATTGTACCTGCTAGGCGTATAATTGAGTGGATCAAAGGATTTGGGGGCTAATAAACATGCTGACCTTGGCCCGTAGATTACGCATAGCGAGGTCTTCCATCAGCATTTGCATCCCGCTTGAAGTGAGCCAAGTCGTAAGCATGGAATGGCTAGGCCATATGGAGAAGAGGCCAATGCACGATCGAACGATGCCTTTTTGCGAAGCTCAAATGGCCCCCAGTATACTACACGGAACATTTCGACGGAGATTATACTAGAACCTTTACGACGCTATGCCATCTGCCGTCTTACTTGCGTCAGTATTCTCCATTCTAGGATGTCTATCCGTGTTCCGGTTTCTATTTGGAACTGACACTATTAAGCCACGGGTATTTAGCCTCTCATTATCATTGGCTACGGGATGCAGATGTAGCCTAGTACATCACTTCGTCTTGGAAAGCCGTGAGAAATTAGCAACGCCCAAATTTCTACATATGGGGGCGATATTTGCAGCTTGGGTATAAAAGGCTGAAGACGAACCTGAGAAGAAAGCCATCAGACAAGAGAGAAACTGAAATCCATCCCATTCTGCCATCGGAATTCATGATGAGTTCTTTAAACCACGACCTACCCACACAAGACAACGGGGCTTTGAACGGTCTGTCACAGGCAAGCCTTCACTCCAATGGGACTTCCCAGACCGATGAAGTGTCTCCAACGCCGGAAAGCCATTCAGATCTTGAAGGGAATGAATCGTCAAGCGATTCCCCCATCGCAATATGTGGGATGGCCCTTCGCCTCCCTGGCGGATTGGCAAGCCCACAGGAGTTCTGGGACTTTCTCGTGGCCAAAGGTGACGCACGAGGCCGCGTTCCAAAGTCCCGTTACAACATCTCCGCGTACCACTCTACCTCTGGACGTCCAGGAACCATTGCAACTGAATATGGGTATTTCCTTGATGAGAGTGTCAAGCTCGGTAGCCTAGACGCTTCTCGTTTCTCACTGATCGTGCCGAACTTGAGTTTGCGGACCCCCAGCAGCGTCTGATGCTGGAAGTCGTTCGAGAAGCCCTTGATGAGGCCGGTGAAATGGACTTTAAGGTAGGTCATTCCCTTTCATTTGATCATAAAGAGCCTTGCTGACATTGGCGGATACAGGGTAGCGTGACGGGATGCTACATGGGAAGCTATGGCGAGGACTGGCTTGAAATGCAAAACAGAGATCACCAACAAACTGGAGTCAATCGAGTGGATGGCTACAGCGACTTTATGCTTTCCAGCCGCATATCCTATGAGATGGACCTTAAGGGACCAACGTATGTACCTTTTCTTTGCATTGTTCAGGTTCAAAATATTGACTTGAGGCTAGTATGACTGTCCGCACTGCCTGCTCTGCGGCACTTATTTGCTTGCACGAGGCCGTCTCCGCCATTCAACGGGGTGACTGTCAGGCGGCAGTTGTAGGTGGCGCGAACTTGATCATGGCTCCCGGCATGACGGCATTCATGACTGAAAAGGGCGTTTTATCGCCGGACGGCTCCTGCAAAACCTTCTCTGCTGATGCCAATGGCTATGCTAGAGGCGAAGCTGTTACTGCTGTATATATTAAGCCACTCACTGCTGCTCTTCGAGACGGAAACCCTGTCCGTGCAGTCATCAGATCCACAGCGTCAAACGGCGATGGTAGAACACAGGGCATTGCACAGCCCAGCACAGAAAGTCAAGAAGCTCTGATTAGAAAGGCTTACAAGAAAGCCGGAATTACCGTAAGTCTGCCCCGATTCAGCTGTTGCAAGGTTCGATGAATGATGCCAATGAGGCTGACTGTTTCCTATATAGGACTTTTCTAAGACTGCTTTCGTGGAGTGCCATGGCACTGGCACGTCAGTCGGTGATCCAATTGAAACGAATGCTGTGGCGCGTGTATTTGGAGACTCCGGCGTTCATATTGGATCGGTCAAGCCAAACCTTGGACATTCCGAAGGTGCCTCGGGACTCACGGCCCTCATCAAGGGTGTTCTAACCCTGGAAAACCAAAAGATTCCGCAAAACATCAAGTTTTCGAGTCCAAACCCAAAGATTCCCTTCAAGGAAAGGAAACTTGTTGTTCCATTGGAGCCAACTTCATGGCCCGAGTCTTGCCACGAACGAGTCAGCGTCAATTCCTTTGGTATCGGAGGATCAAATGCGCATGTCATCCTGGATTCGGCGCGCAGCTTCAACCTTCGCGAAAATATCTCTGAGACAAACCATGAATATGAGCCTAGCAAGTCACACTTGCTCCTATTATCTGCCAATTCCGCATCCTCGTTAGAGGTGATGACCAACAGTTTCCGGGACTGGGTTGGTCAGAAACCAAAAAGTCTAGAAGACCTTGCTTATACCCTAGCACATCGAAGACAACGCTTGTCACACCGATCCTATTTAGTCGCCAGTGGTGATCGGCCATCTGGAGCTGTTAGCCAGGGCCGGAAGGTACCCACCACGTCTCCAAACTTGGTCATGGTGTTTACAGGGCAGGGTGCACAATGGCTACGAATGGGTCGCCAACTACTCCTTCGCTCGGACTTTTGTTTCCAGAGCAGTATTCGGGCCCTTGACGAATACCTCCGAGATGCCCCTGACGCTCCGACCTGGACTTTGGAAGAAGAACTTCTGAAACCAGCAAGGACTTCCAGAGTCCAAACGGCAGAGCTGTCGCAACCCCTTTGCACAGCTGTCCAAATAGCCTTGGTTGACCTCCTTGCAGCTGTTGGTGTGAAGCCCTCCGCAGTCGTCGGCCACAGCAGTGGTGAGATTGCGGCAGCTTATGCTTCTGGTGCCCTCACAGCCAAGGAAGCCATCATATCCGCATGGCAGAGAGGAATTGCCGCTAAGAAGCAGACAAAGCCTGGAGCCATGGCTGCCGTTGGACTAGGTTGGGATGAAGTGAGCATCTTCTTGACGCCTCCCAATGTCGTGGTCGCATGTGAGAATTCACCGAGGAGCGTTACCCTGTCCGGAGATGCCGAAGAAGTGCAATCCGCCATCTCTCGTATCAAGTAAGCCCACCCGGACGTGACAGCCAAACTACTCAAAGTCGAAAAGGCGTACCACTCATATCACATGCGAGAGGTTGGCGGCGAATATGTTGAAGCCTTGCTCCGTGATGTCCAGGGAAATCCACCTTCCGTGCCATTCTTCTCTTCTGTCACTGGCACAGGAAAGCCTGAACAGGTTGCTTTGGACGCGAAGTATTGGCAGAGAAACCTGGAGTCACCCGTTCTCTTCAAGACGGCAATTGCCGCAGTCCTCGACCAGATTGAAAATGTCACCTTTTTGGAGATTGGGCCACATCCAGCACTCGCAGGGCCCGTCAGACAAATTATGACACAAGCTTCGAGCTCAGCACCATACATCGGAGTCATGGAGCGTGGTTCGGACTGTGTTGAGACATTTTTGATCGCGCTCGGAAAGTTGTTTGAGCTGAACGTCTCGATCGACTTTGTTTGAGCTGAACGTCTCGATCGACTTCACGAAACTCATTCCCACGGGAACCTGTCTCCCTAACCTCCCACGGTACCCTTGGGATCACAAATCCGACTACTGGCGCGAATCCAGAATCTCTCAAGAATGGAGAGATCGTGAGTTCCCGGCGCACCCACTTCTCGGTGTCCGTCAGCTTGAGAGTACGAGCCTTGAGCCCAGTTTCCAAATATGCTGCTCATTGAAAATGCGAGCTGGCTTCGAGACCACAAAATTGAGGACAATGTCATTTTCCCCTGTGCCGGCTATGTTTCAATGATCGGTGAAGGAATTCGGCAGATCAGTGGATCACAAGCTTCCTTTACATTGCGAAATGTCGTGCTCAGTTCAGCCCTCGTGTTATCGGAGGATGCACCTGCTGAGCTAGTCACTACTTTCCGTCCAGTTCGCCTGACCGATTCAATGGATAGCCAGTGGTGGGATTTCACAATTGCATCTCACAACGGAAATATCTGGATGAAGCATTGCACAGGGCAGGTTGCATCTAAGAAGATACCTCCCGTGCATAAGCCAGGCGAAGATCTGCTCCCAAGAAAGGTACAGCGGCGGAAGTACTATGATGTTCTCTCTCGCGCAGCTATCGGTTACGGACCACACTTCCAGCGCCTTGAAGACATTCGAACCGGTACAGTAGATAATCGTGCGACTGCTCACTTGTCACGCGATGTCTGCGGAGATGAAGAGCATTACCACATCCATCCGGCCGTGATTGATGCTTGCATTTAATCTGGTCCCCTTGCAGGCACTAGGGGACGTGTCGAGGCGAAGCATTACCGGCGAGTGCCAACGAAGATTGACAGGGTGACTGTCCATCGCTGCGACCCAGCTGCAGGTATCAAGGTCTCGGCATCGGCCGTGTTCATTAAGGGTAGTGGCGACGTTGTCAGCCGCGTACAATGCATATCAAATGGAGTCATTGTGTTAGACATGGAGGGTGACAAACTCTCGCCATTGGAGGAAGCTGAGGAACTAGGAACAACCAAGCCCATTACATCTGCACGTCTCACCTGGGGACCACACATCGACTTCCTGGACGTCACTCGTCTCATAAAGCCTGAGATTCCCAGCCGTCTGTATACTCCAACTCTCGACGAGCTCGCCCGCCTGTGTCTGGTATATTCGAAACGACTGATTGAGGGGGCTCAAACCAGTCTCCCCCATATGGCCAAGTACATGGATTGGATTGCACGAGAGGTCCGTGGCTATGGGGACCAGTCGCCAATTTTTGCGATGGATGGCGTTTCCATTAGAAGGCAAATTGACAACTTGGTGCAAAAGATGACTGGGACACCAGTGGAGGACTGTGCTGCTGCCGTCCAGAAAGTGGTCAACAACCTGGATGGCCTGTTGTCTGGGGAGACGGATGCTCTGGAATTATTGCTGGCCGACAATACTCTTACAAAGCTATACATTGCCACGGACGCTATAGACCGGTCTCAATTTATCCGCCACCTAGCCCACAGCAAGCCCAATCTTCGCATTCTCGAGGTTGGCGCAGGCACAGGGGCATCCACGGCCAGCATGTTGAAGCATTTGGTTTTGCCTACTGGGCAGCCTCTGTACTCAAAGTACGCGTTCACCGACATTTCTTCCGCATTCTTCGTCTCCGCAAAGGATCACTTCAAGGACTATCGCAATATTGAGTACCGTGTTCTGGACATCAGCCAGAACCCAGCCGAGCAAGGATTCGAAGAGGATAAATTTGACCTTATTATCGCCACCAATGTCCTTCACGCCACGAAGAGTCTAAATGAGACTCTGAGGAATGTGCGCCATGTGCTCTCCCCTGGTGGCAGACTACTTCTCCATGAGCTTGACTCTGCCTCCAAATGGCCTAACTTCATTTTCGGCACTCTACCAGGTTGGTGGTATGGTGGGCCAGACGGTCGCCCCGATCAACCCTATGTTACCCCAACTCGATGGGAGTCGGAGCTCAGAGATGCGGGTTTCAATGGGCTGGATGCAGTCGTACATGATGCTGAGGAAGGATATCAACTGAATTCTATCATGGTTGCAAGCCCACAAATCGACAAAGGGCCAGTCAACAAGACAATCTCCATTTTGTGTGATGATGTTGCTACCTATTTGACGCCCCTGTCCAGAGTTCTGGAGGCTCGAGGCTTCACAGTCCAGCCGTATCGACTTGGCCAGGAACTGCCGGCAGGTCAAGACGTCATTTCTCTTCTTGATGCTGCACGGCCCTTCTTCAAAGATATTGACGAATCTCGCTTCACATCTTTCCAGCGGGTATTGGACAACCTTGGACAGTCTGCGCTGTTTTGGGTGACAGAGCCATGTCAAATCCAGTGTAGAGACCCCAACTATGCTCAGGTTATTGGAACCGCTCGTACCATCCGTACTGAGATGCTGTTGGACTTCGCCACATGCGAAGTGGATCACCTTGGATCTTCCTTGGAGAAAGTTGTTGATGTCTTTTCAAAGTTCCAAAGAAGAGCGGAGGATGAGACTTTCAAGCCTGAATACGAGTATTCCATTTGCGACGGCACCGTTAACGTCAGCAGAATCTATCCCTTCTCTTTGACCGATGAACTTTCCTCGACTACCATTTCGGAAGAACGAATCGGCCTCGACATGGGCAAGCCGGGACGTCTTAATACCCTGAGATGGGCTCCACGGGAGAAGAAGATACTCCAAAGCGACGATGTAGAGGTGCAGCTTCACGCAGCTGGCCTGAACTTCAAGGTAAACCCCCTTTTATTGTCCAAATTCTATCGATGGCTAACATATTGTGTTTAGGATGTCTTGGGCTCATTGGCAGTTGTCCCCTACCCTGAGGATGGTTTAGGAATTGAGTCGAGTGGCATTGTGTGCCGTGTTGGTCCCTGTGTCACGAATCTTCGCATAGGCGATCGGGTCATGCTCTTAGGTGATGGCTCCTTTGGGTCACACGTTGTCACTCCGGAGAGACTTTGCGCCAAGATTCCCGCCGGCCTTAGCTTTGAAGATGCTGCGAGTATGCCTGCGGTCTTCGCCACTGCAGTTTTCTCCCTGTTCCATATTGGGAAGCTACAGAAGGGACAAGTGCGCTGCTCCACTTAGATCAACCGCTCGTCTTGAACCGGTACTGACTACCTTTTAGTCCGTCCTTATTCACAGTGCCTGTGGCGGTGTTGGTCTGGCTGCTATCCAGCTTGCTCGTATGGTAGGAGCTGATATTTATGCAACCGTCGGAAGCGAGGAGAAGATCAACCATCTTGTCGAAAACTTTGGTCTTCCAAAGAACCGAATTTTCCACTCCAGGGACACCAGCTTTGTGAAAGGAATCCTGCGTGAAACGAACGGAGAAGGTGTGGCTCTCGCTTTGAACTCTCTATCTGGAGAGCTTTTGCATGCAACTTGGCGTTGTGTAGCCGAGTTTGGCACTCTGGTTGAGATCGGAAAGCGTGACTTCCTCGGCGGCGGTAAACTTGACATGGATGTGTTCCTCGGCAGTCGAACCTACGCATGCTTCTACCTTGATGCACTCATGGCAAGAAGACAGTCAAAGGTCAAGGAGCTTCTCAGGGAAGTTGTATGGTACTTGCAGACTGGCCACATCACTCCCGTCAGGCCTAGGAAAGCTTTTAATGCCTCGGAGATCGAAGACGCATTCCGCTACATGCAACAGGGCCAGCATCTTGGCAAGATCGTTGTCTCAATCAGAAACACTGATGGTGATCTAAGAATTGACACTGCCTCTGTCAAGGCGACAAAGGAACTGAACCTGGACAGTGAGGCATCTTACTTGCTCATCGGTGGACTTGGTGGACTCGGGCGAGCAGTGGCGAGACACTTGGTTGAGCGCAACGCTCGCCGTGTGGTGTTCCTCTCCAGAAGCGCTGGAAATGGCCCAGAAGACCCTGACACTGTTAAGGAGCTTGAAAGTATGGGTTGTGATATTCGTCTCGTCAAGGGAAGTGTTCTGCAGCAAGAGGATGTGTCCCGGGCTTTGGACCAAGCTCCAAATCTCAAGGGAATTATCCAATGTTCTATGGTTCTTCGTGACGAAAACTTCGGACGTATGAGCATAGACGAGTGGAGAACTGCGGTGGCGCCTAAGGTCCAAGGGACATGGAATATCCACCACGCTACAGTTGCTGCTGGGATCAAACTAGACTTCTTTATCTTGTTCTCGTCCATGTCTGGAGTTACTGGACAAGCCGGTCAGGCAAACTACGCCGGCGCCAACACTTTCTTGGATTCCTTTGTGCAGTACAGAACAAGCCTGGGTCTCGCAGCATCTTCCCTGGATATTGGAGCAGTGCAGGATGTTGGTTACGTTTCGCAAGACGATGCCCTTCTGAAGAGGATGAAGCTCGCAAGTGCACATGGAATTACGGAGCCTGAGCTAATGGAAGCTGTTAGCGCAGCTGCTCTGTTCCCTGCCACTTCCCGGACTAATTGCGACACCCTTGCCGAGCCTTTCGTTGACAAGAACACTATTGCACTGGGTCTATCGACAGCAATTCCCCTTAGCAGCTCTGAAAGCCGTGCATTCTGGAGAAAGGACGAGAGAATGGCCGCCTACCACAACTCTTCCAAGCTCAGTGCGGGAGCCTCTACCTCGAACAGTGACAATCTCAAGTCGTTCATGGCGCGAGCCAAAGGAGACGCGAGCATTCTCAGCACTGAGGAAGCGAGAATATTCCTTGCTGAAGAAATAGGCAAAAAGCTGTTTATGTTCCTTTTGAAGTCGCCGGAGGACCTGGATACGTCTGCGTCACTCTCCCAGCTGGGAATGGACTCTTTGGTTGGTGTCGAGATGCGCAGTTGGTGGAGGCAGGCATTCGGGTTTGATATCAGCGTCCTTGAGCTGCTGGGTATGGGAAACCTGGATGGGCTGGGTAAGCATGCGGCGGAAGGAGTCCTGAAGACACTGAGTGAAGAATTTGCGTAGATTGTTAAAATGCAGCCACCCATACTCTCAGAATCACTGTCATTAATTACCCTGTGCTTTGAAATGGTACATAAGAGCTACATACATACGTAGTAGTATGTACCGGATTTTAGGCCGCGAATGCGAATTTCCCGATCAGGGTGCCGCCGCTTTATGAGGGCGCTCAGTTTCCTGCTCACTGAGTGTCTCACAGCACAGAGTGATTACTCAGTGCCGCTTAGTTAACGTAGTTCACGGCCGGGTCGGCCACACAAGCCAGCCGGCCACCCCACCCAACCTACTAAATTCAAATGCATTTATCTCAACCAAAACGCCATTAAATTAATTTAACTAAAATGAAACTATCTAGCTAGGCATCTATTAAATCTATGCCCTGTTGATCTGCACCCACTGCACCTGGTGGCCCCCGTACATGTGGTTCTAATAGGCCTCAAACCCGCCCGCAGACCCGCACTTTTGCGGGCGGAGAGCGGGCTGCGCCTGCCCGCGGGTGGGCAGGTTATTTTCTTGCTCTCCGAGGGCGGCCCTCTAAACATTTGACAAACATGGAAATCTGCTTAGATGCATAAAGTATGCAGGTTTCGGCGGTACTATTTAGTATTCTGTTTACAGCTTAGTAGTATAAAAATTTAATAAAATAATCAGATTACTATCTACAAGTCATATAGACAGGATAATGTCTGACAAGTATTGGCTTTCCCTTTCCGTTTTAGTGCTCACCCCAGAATATATATTCACTACCTCTAGCTTTCTTATATGCCAATCACTGAATCACCGATGAAGAAAAAATCACCCAAGCAATCTACCATTCTTGAACTTCGCCGTTGTAGAGGACGACCTTGCCACCGTACTGCTCCTTGGTTCCATTGGTAATCACATCAACCATACCGCTTGTAGACTTTTCAACAGTGTCAGGTGCTGACTCCATACCCCACCCTTTCGCAGCCCCGTTGCCCATATCGGTCTGTACCCAGCCGGGGTCCAATACAAAGGTGTTAAGCCACTCATCTTCGGCGTTGATTCGAACACCGTACCACGGGAGAATGGACTTGGAAGCTCCGTATGCTGCACTAGGAACGGGAGGCTGGCGACTAGGGAGTGAATGAGTATGGGCATAAATGAAAAAGAAATAATAACCACATAGGGGAATGTGAGAGGGACATCTTACCCTAAAGCTCCAGCTCCAGATCCCATGATAGCATAGACAGGCTTGGTGATCGACTTTTCAAGTAGAGGACGAGTGGCTTGGTAGAGAGAGACAACGCTAAAGACGTTCACCTCGATATGCTCGAGGACGTCGGCGCGTTTGACATCCTTGACAAGGGGATACCCTTTAGCGATGCCGGCATTGGCAACAACGTAATCAATATGATCAACGCCCTTGTCGGCGGCTTCTTTGACAGCATCAAAGGCGGACTGCTCAATACCGGCGTCATACTTCACGACGATAATGCTGCTGCCTTCGCCCGTGGATAGCTCAGATAGCTCCTTAACGGTTGGGTGTGCGGGATCACGGACCGCAGCAACGACAACCTGCGAGTGGCTCAATTAGCTAGCTCCTGACGGATATGCTAAAAAGGATGACTTACGTAGTTCGGGTTGGCCACGAAATTCTTCACCAGTCCGAAGCCCAGTCCGCGGTTAGCACCGGTAACAAAGGCAACAGTGGGAGCCATGATAGCGTAGTATAAGCGGCATAGGTTAAAAATGTAGAGAGTTGAGACAATTGGATCAGTGCGTTGATACAAACTGGTAGGCAGATAGATACAAGCACTGCCTTCAAATATACTTCTACTAACACGCGATTAACTACCTAAGGTGGGATGCTGATTATCAATCTGTTCGATTACAAATGCAAGAAGGGCGTAGCGGCGGCGCTGAAACAAAGAAAATACCGCCGTGACTTGATTCGGTCGGACCGACTGGTCTAAGGCCATGATGCGATCGGCGGAGATAAGCACCTGACGGGGCTGGGCCGAAATGGGGACGTAGGTCAGTGTTGGATGCAATGGCGTAAAACAATAATTTTAGAAGAGAACAGAGTTCTTTTTCTTTCTACTCGATTGGTGCTGGCAGTCAAACCTCAATTCATCTTACATGGATCGGCGTGTAAGCATCATCCAAATTTGTAAGATATATAGTACTATACCAAAATATAGGAGAAACAAGGGCTTCAGTCAACGATTTTCACTACTTTCGATACAATTCATATCTAAAAGCAACTATGTGGAGCCAGTCAGAGATATCGCCTGAATTTCTTGGGATTTCTAGGATCTTAGGCCATAAATTACAAGGCCAGGATGTGAGCGCCCTCGCATGGAAGGCGTCTGGGTTGCTTATTGCTCTCCTCTTTGCCTATGCCATCAGTGTAGGATTTTATCGTTGTATGTCATCACAATTGAGGATTGGCTTTTTTAGATGTCGACTCGAAACCCTCGCAGTGTATCTCTCGCCATTGGCCAGCTTTCCGGGACCCAAGCTAGCTGGTAAAGGAGCCCCTCGTCATTTTACTGGCTAGCTCTAGTTATAACAAATTCTTCTAGCTTTGACACAGCGGTACGAGGGTTATTAGGAAGTATGGCTTGGTGGAAAGTACTTCCTTCGCCTGGAGGAGATGCACAAGCAATATGGTATGCAATGAATCTCCGATCACGTCGAATGAATCCATGAGATAAAGAATGCTGAGAAATCGAAGGGCCAATTGTAGGCATTAACCCAATTAAAGTGCACTATAATGACCCTGAATGCATCGACTTGGTCCTCGCGGGCCCCGCTAGGAAGACCAATCGTCACCCCAGCTTGGCCAGAAAAACAGGGACTCCTAGCTCGATGGCGACGACAGTCGAGCATGACATTCGCCGCCAACGCCGAAACGCAGTGGCTGGGTTCTTTTCGACGGCTAGTATTCGCCAACTTGAGCCCATCATTCAAGCTACCATGAGTAGGCTGCTAGAAAGACTGGAGGAGACAGCGCAAGCAGGCTCTCCCCCGGTGCCGATACACCATATCTTCAAAGCCTGCACTAGCGACGTGATCAACAAATATGCCTTTGGTGAGTGCTTTGCCTTCATGGAACGGGCCGACTTCGGGAAGTCCTATTTCAATGCCACCGACATGTTCTTTGGGCTGAATCACATCATGATTTTCTTTCCATGGTTCGCGACTTTGATGCAGAAGACCCCAGGGTGGTTTGTCAAGGCCATAATGCCAAATGTGGCGGAGCTTGTGGACAAGAAATCTGTATGTATTACTCTAGCACTGCGCCTTCCAAAAGCTCAAAGCAAGCTAACATTCGTGTAAGTGGTGGATTGATCGAGTTCGCGAGATCAGAAACTCCCCAAACCCCGAAAGGATCAAGAGCACAATTTTTGAGGGTATTCTCAATAGTAATCTGCCCGCTGCCGACAAGACAGATACCCGGTTGGCAAGTGAACCTCAACTTGTCATCTTCGCTAGCGAGGGTACAACAGCATTCACACTCACTGCTGCGATGTATGAGATTCTGGCTAACCCTGCTGTGCTTGAGCGTCTCAAAGCCGAGCTCTGCACAGCAGTACCGGATGAGGATTCTATCCCATCGTTCTCCCAAGTTGACGGGTTACCTTTCCTCAATGCTGTGATACAGGAGGTCATCCGCCTGCACCCGGGAGTCATGGACCGCCAGATGCGTGTCCCTGCCAGCCAGCCAGTCATATACCAGGATAAGAATAGATCTGGTCGTGAATATGTTGTGCCGGCCGGGTTTCTTGTGAGCATGAGTCCTCTGTGTTTGCATTTGAATCCAGATGTATACGAAGATCCATACGTATTCCGCCCACAACGCTGGATCGACAATCCTCAACTGGCACGTGCATTCTTAGGGTTCTCAAGAGGAACTCGATCTTGTGTTGGGTAAGTCAGACTTTTCACTGCCTACATTCTTTTTCATGTTTGCTGAATACTTAACGCAATTAGGATGAATTCGGCTCGTCGGGAAATGGCCATCGTTTTGGGGACGCTGTTTCGCAGGTATGACTTATACCATGGAAAGCCCGGCCGTACACTCGAGCTGTACGACACTGAGCGAGCCAGAGATGTTGATGCTAACTTTGACATGATCATTCCAGTCCCTGCCAAGGGAAGCAAGGGAGTACGCATCAGGGTTAGAAACTAGCCATGCAGACAGCTTGGAACAAGAATAGGAATGCAGTGAGAGGCAACGAAAGTGCAAGGGAGAGAGCACCTATTCTTTTAGGTGCAAGTCTGTCATCTTTCTCTCTATGAGTTGGACGCAATCACGAGAATTGACAAGAACGCACACTTGACAATTCTCGGTGGAGCTTTTCGAGCTCAACCTGGCCAAGTAAACAGAAGAGTAGACGGGACAGGCATGTTGTTTGCATGACATAAACAACCACTTCTGCCAATCTATTATTAGGGTCTTTTTTCTCGTTCATGTTGATATACGCGTTATTTCACGGCAGCAAAGAATTCAGATACCTGTTTCCCTCCATGACAACTGCTATAGTCACCATACTGACAAAGTTTATAGTAAGTTTCAGTTTTGCCTAAAGATGGGATCTTCTCTATAGATTCACTGTCTATTTGCGGACTATTTGATCCTATGCTCCAGAACAGCTGTAAAAGTCTGCTTGCTTCTGAAAGACCTCCACTGAGCCTTCGCCTGACAAAATTGCGAGGTGGCCTCCATTCGGGGCGACAAAAAGCTCCTTTGGGGTGGTCATACCGTCAAAAGCAGCCTGCTGCTCCACTGGGGGAGAAATATTGTCCAACTCCGGAATAATCATCATCACAGGCACCTCCTCGATTGTCTCCATGATTTCCTTGGGACGGAAATAAGCCAGCTTGTGGTAGGTCTGCATAGTAATTCGGTCTCGGAAATTGGGATGACCGCGTTCTGCAGCGGCACGCATGAGAAGATGCGCCTCGAGCCTGCCAGGAACCCCGGCACCTCCCAGTCCCGCGATATTGTCACCGCGAGAGGTATGCGGCTGCATTGAATATGGCTCGTTACCTTTGAGCTGGAACTTCCGGTCCTTAATCACCTCTTTAAATGTTCGTTGCCGGCGATCTTTGCGTATGAAGCTTAACAGAGGGCACACCATGATGAGAGCTTTAACCCTTCTGTCTACGGCTACTGTACAGGCATTGACAGCAGCCCCAAATGAGATACCCGAAAGTAGGATACACTTATTGTCCACTGTGGGCAAAGTGGACGCATCCCAGGACCTCGATTGGCTGGTAAGATACATCCTTGAGATATTTCGTGAAAAGAGAAGGGTTAAAAAGGGCCTCCAGCGATGACTTTTCTGTACGAAGCCTACTATGAAGCCTGGCTAGGAGGACAAATGTTCCTCCACGTTCAAGAATCGCACAAAAATACGGTTTGGAAAACTCTATCGTGTTTCAATCTATATGCGCTGACCAAACTAAAGGGCCCCTTGTTCGCATCACACCGACGAGGTTCATTTCGATGATCCCGAGGTCATTGATGATATATTCCCCCAGGGTGGGAGAAAGACCAACAAGCCCACATGGCTTCACACTAGAACCGGAAGTTAGTTTTTATTGATTTGAAGTGTTTGTTCAGATGGACTAAAGAATTTCAAGCCCCCGACTCCGTATTCTCCACCATTCATCATGACCAACACCGACAGCGCCGGAATGCCGTCAGTTCATTCTTCTCTCCGGCCAGTGTGCATAGGCTGGAAAACCTTCTTAAAGAGAATCTGGGTACTCTTCTTGCCCGTCTCGACAGTCATGGCCGGGCCCAAGATGTTGTGCAAGTCCACTATATATTTAAGGCTTTAGCGAGTGATCTGATCACATTCTATTCCTTTGATCAGTGTTTGAATTTGCTAGATGCCCCTGACTACGGAAAAGTTGGCTTTGACGCTAGTGATGAGTTCTTTATGCTCACACACTTGGGCAAGGTATTTCCTTGGCTGATGGGCCTGTTTACCACGGCTCCCACTTGGATTGTCCGCATTTTGTTCCCCCATATGATTGAGATGCGGGATCGACGCGACGTAAGTTAAGGTTGAATATCCCGTCCAAGAGTTGTTATTGTTACTGCCGTTATTAATCATAACACTGACAAGGTTGTCGCAGTGGTGGACTGATGCAGTTAGTGATATCCAGAGCTCGCCCGACCCTCAAAGAATCAAACGCACGATTTTTGAGGGGATATTAAATAGTAAATTACCCGATTCGGATAAGACAGACGCCAGAATGGCTGGTGAGGCTCAGCTTGTCGTCTTTGCAGGGGAAGGCACAACTGGTTGGTCCCAGAGCAACTCTCCCACTCGAAGTAATACTAATTGGAATCCAGCGTGGACGATGCATGCGGCTCTATACCAAATTCTCGCCAATCCCGTCATCTGCAAGGAGCTAAAGGCTGAACTAGCCACGCTGAATCCCACTTCTGACGGCGTCGCCGCTCTGGGGGAGGTCGAAGCTTTACCATATCTCAGCGCCGTCATTCAGGAAACAATTCGTTGCCACCCTGGCGTCATGAGTCGACAAATACGTGTTTCCCCCGAAGTCTCAATTCTCTACACAAACAAGGCGACTGGCAAGCATTACTCAGTACCTCCGGGCACTATTTACAGCATGTCACCAATAGATGTTCATATGAACCCAGACTATTTCAAAGATCCCTATGTATTCCGCCCTGAGCGGTGGATTGAGAATCCGAAGCTGTCAAAGTACTTCCTCGGATTTGGACGTGGATCAAGAAATTGCCTCGGGTCAGTAACCCCCCCTCAGTCCTTTCTTTGCGATCTTCCCGGGGGACATCAATAACCTTTCAGATAGAATGGCCCTTGCTCGACGGGAGCTGTCCCTCACACTCGCAACCTTGTTCCTGAAGTACGAGCTATACCGTGGACAGGACAGAACTACGATGGAACTATATGATACTGTGCGTGCTAGGGATATCGACGCTGTACGTGAGTTCATTGCACCTTTCCCGGCTCCGGGCAGTCGAGGTCTCCAGGTGAAATTCAGGAGCTAGAGCGCGTATGGAGTGAACAAGCGCAGTCATTATTGCATAGGTGGCGTGGGTGGTATAAGATAGAAAGAAATACTGAAAGAGGCAGAAGTTGAGAAAGAGGAGGTCGAGTTTTTCATTTCTCGACCGTGGAGGCTACATGATGACTCATACACTGTAGTTGTTATTGCCATACACACCGCGTAACCCAAAAAGGGACTCGGAAGTCTTCGTTTATTGTTATAGGCAGAGTCAACTCCCGCTTAAAGCACACCTTATCATCCAATGGAATGTTTGTGCTATGACTGAACTTTGTGGATGCGTGACTCGACTCGTGAATACGGGCATAGTCGCAGAATAATAAGGCTAGTAGATCTAGCCCCGCCATGCATTTGCCTCTCAAGTAGAAGCGAAAGGGCATAACGGTGGGCGACTGTATTTATTTAGGGCTAGCGTGGTGCATTCTATTGACCTCGGGAGGTGAGCTGGCTGCTGACTTCGCTGCTCTCCGCTTTAGTTAGTTATTGAGCTAGCCATACGCTGATGTAAGCATAGTATAAACGACCCTGTGTGGGCTAATCCCTTCTTGGTATAGTCTGTGGTAATCTAAGTGCATTAGTGTTGCTCACTGATTGGACACTGAGCATCACTAAGTAATCAGAGAGCATCTCATGAGCACTCACTAAGCATTCACTGAGCACTCGCTGAGTACTCACTGAGCATCAGTCATTCTGCACGTGACTGAACTGAGCATGATCACTGACCAGAGTCCGTGCTGACATCTACTTAGTGAGCCTGAGCCTGAGCACCCTCATAAAAGCGGCGGCAGATCAAATAGGAAAGTCCCACCCGCCAGGGAAAATCCGGTACGTATAGGTACCTATATAATAGCTAGATTAATATCCTATAGATAAAATATAAAAATTAAAAAGAAGAGTTGCTACTTAGAAAGTGTTAAATAACAGTAATTTATTAAGATGACTTAGCAGTTCTATACGTCTAAATTAGGAAAGGTCAACTTTTTTTATGCAAACGAGGGCGGAGGGTCGGGCGAGGGCTGGTCGTTACCCGCCCTCTAAATGTTCTTAATGAGGTCTATGTAGGCGTGCCAGTTGATGCGCGCCAAGTAGGTCAGTCCGAAGAGCTCCCCTACTTGTAGGATGGTTGTCACAAGCGTTTGAACAGTGAAGTGTAATCAGAAGAATATCCTGTAGTAACTTAGATTGATTGATCGCGAAGAACTAAATACTGGTGGCGGTGGTTCTGTTAGTGGTTTCCAACCACCAAGGCAGAACAGCGAATGGACACTCCTTCCCGAGACAAATGTTTATGGAAGCTCCAGCCGTGAGACCTGTGAAGATAAAATGCTCTCGAGGCGCCTCTGCGTTGTATATCCTATGGTTGAACGAGTGCCAAGAACCCCCGAAGGATGCCAACCTCGCGTTCTTCTCCTGGTCTCCTGTTCAGCTGTGTCTGCTGCTCTCTGAGCACCTCGGTGAATCAAGGTGACGTGTTTGTCCAATGCCAAGATATCATCTTCATCAGAATGAGGCTGTGCAAATCGATGACTTGACCAATGACTCTTCTTTCCTCCTTCTAGCACTTGACATGGTGATGATTCGCGCACACGAGGCTGAGATTTGCAAATACCAAGAGAAAGCCTTGAGAGGCTTGGAGCTCTTGTCTTCTACATCCTTCGCAGCCAACATCGAGCAGGTATTTGTCTAGAAATAACCCCTCTTTCGCAGGGCCATTACTAGAAATGATTCTCAGAAACTGGGTGTTTGTCTTACCCGGCTTTGTTTCTCATTAGTGTTACTCGTTTCCTCCATGGCAGATACTAGCAGTACGGAGGCTCAGGGCCTTCATGACCTATGTCTCTCTGCCTTCACTGCAGAGTATAAGCACGATCATCAGTCTGCTGCCTCCCTTCACAACTCATCAGTCGAGCATCTTGCACAGGCCCTCCAGAAGACCGGTCTGTTTGAGCACAACAAGAAGCGAGCACTAAGACGGAAAATCAAAATACACGAAGGTCGCCTTCGAAACCTAAACGTACAGCATGCTGCCCCTATTGTGTTAGTGGTCCCTCAGAGCAGGCAGGATATAATCGAGGAGCAGCTTCAGCGAGGGGCTGCAAAAATTGGTCTGGTAAGTAAACCTCAGATAAGAGGACCAGAATAAATTTCCCATCAATCCAAAGGGCTTGCCAATTAATTTCTTTCATGACTACAGGAGGATATGGCGCTAGGAAAGCTCGCACGTGATCGCGTTCAAAACCCAAAGGCGAAAATCGAACCCTTTTTCCAATATCTTGTGAAACCGCCTCTTCCGTTTTACACGCCGACGGGAGACTTCTCTGCTCCCAATCTAAGGTTCGATATCACAGGAGATGCTGAGAATTCACCTTTCAAAGTCTCCCATTGGTGCTCCACCAAGGTCAAACTCACCGGAAGTGAGGAGAATCTATACATTTGTGATGGACTCAAGCGGAGAAAGCGACAAATACCAGGCGTGACAATCTCTCGAGTTTCAGAGTATCCCCAACCATACATCACAACTCGCGTTGGCCCAGCTCGCTGGAATTTTAGCGGCCGCACTTTGGAGCACACAACCAGCTACGGAAACGTAATTAAGGAGAAATCAGACCGCGATACCGAATGGGCACCTCGGCGCTTCACATTCGGCGGGCGTCGTTTTGTCTGGAAACCTGATCCTGCGACAGGCCATGACGCCGAATATCTCGTCGAGATTCGCTCTGAACGGCCAAAGGCGGGCAGCAAAACAGGCAAGATCGAAGACGAGGTGTTTGAGACGAAACTGGCGTGGACGAACGGCTACAGGTTTTTCAAGGGTACTCAGCTTGAGGTCGTTGGTGGGCTCGATCCGTTCTTCCGGGAGTTTCTGTTTGCCAGCCAATGTACGAGATACCTGATCGCGAAGTTTGGGCACTAATTATCGCATTATTCTTGTGGTAGCATCAACTGATATCCGAACAAACGAGGATATCTCAACTGGTTCTAAAAATACAAACCGGTACAGGACAGCCACCGGAAATGTCGGTTGGATCCTGTTGGCTGGCGAGCAGCCTCAAAGTGAGTGGGGATGTCTATGCAGATCGACATAGGAATACGAGATTCCCATCTAATCAAGATGGTTGGCCAAGGACGAATAGAAATCTGATTGTTGTCAAAGATTCGCCCAGATGATCTTGACCCGTTTATGAAATCAAACCGTCCCATTTCCCTTTCTTTCTTTTTTTTTTTTTGCTCTCTTTACACT